AAAAAAAAAACATTTCTAAAGCAAAGCCCATTACAGCTACCAAATGACACCTGTTAAGACAAAGAAAACTGTTGAATTTTTAAAGCAACGTGGAACGRAGTGAAGCATTAACCATAAAATAGTGCAAGTCATTCCAGCTCAGTGTTTTCCCAGACAATGAGAAGACAACTGATGGAGCCACTGCAGGCAAATGATTTCTTGATCCTGTGCTGTTTAACTGTCTGGGTTGGGTAACGGCCTCCTCCGAGTGTTTTTGTTTCCACAATTAGTGAAATAAAGTATGTCAGTGTGTGCAGCGGATYGCACCAGCATGACTYGGTGATTCGAGTGCGGTGTGTTCCAAAGACAAAGTTGTCCGWGTTCATTCATAAAAATCCAGCTGAGCCAACAATAACTTTGTAAGTAAGYGTGTGAGGCGCTGTTCACAGTGCCGTACCTTAGATCAATGTGTTTGACGTGAAGCAGCCTGAAATTCTGCAAGGTGAGCGTCTCTAGATGGTTTCCAGCCATGCAAAGCTTCTCCATGGAGGACAGCCGCTCGAGCACCWGGGGCACGTGGTTGAACTGGTTGAAGGACAGGCCTAAATAGCTCAGCCTCTGCAGGGAACCCAGCTCAGAGGGTAGGTCGCTTAAACTGTTTCCATCCAACAGAAACGTCTGCAAGCTGAGAAAAGAATAACTGTCTTTATTAAGGAGTCGTTATTTTTTATTAGTTTCCCAAAGTCTATCATGTTTCATAACACTTTCTGCGTCTATGATCAGTAAAATTAACACCCAGCAGATGGCAGCAGCAGAACTGATGCCCTACTGGCCACTTCAGGAATTTACATGCATGCCAGATCAGCCGTCCAGATTATCTTCTCATCTTGACCACTCTCAACCCTGCATACCAGTGCGTTTGGTTTCAAATGGTCTAAATTTCAAGGACATGTACTTTGCGAATAGTCCACGCTGATCTAAATACTAAATAACTCCAATAATAGTTTTGCCCAATGTCACGGTGGAGTAAAAAGGACCAAACAGTACAGACTTCACTTGATATTATAAAGATACTGTATTTTAAAGGGGAGGTGGGTATTATGCAAAAACATTTTTGAGCTTTATAACATGTTATAATGTCATTTCCTCATCAAAAACAAACTCTGAGTGCTGCTTTAACTCAGTCATACATGTTGGAGAAATCCCTGGATCTCCTGCGGTAGCCATCCGGAAGTGCCTAAATGCTTTCTCATTCAAAGCTGCATTCTCTCAAAGCTTTCAGTTCAATAACAAAAAAGAAAAAAAACTGTTAAACTGTATCTGAGAATGCTTTCATATAAAGAATACAACTGTAAATTTTTGTGTAGATAAGAAGAAAAAAAGAAGCACTCCATGAGGTATACTGTCGCTTGTACTACTCATAAACTTAGCAAATATGCTGTTGYTTGTTTATAAGCTGGAACAATCAAAGTATTTTTTTTTCTCTCTGAGGGAACTTCCACATTTGACTAAAATTTTATCACTGAAACAGGGAATCATGTGGTTAGTTGTTCGGAAGACTTTGTGGTCATCTGGGGTCAGATTTGTAAAGGATTGCGTGGAAACCGTACTAAAAATGAACGTACGGCCAAAAGGCAAAAATGGCGTACGCCAAAAAAAAAATTCCAATTTATAAAACCGTGCGTACGCACGTTTCTGTGCACCTTTCATTTATAAATCACAGCTGCACATCAGAGTTTGCGTACAAGGTCCCTCCTCAGGTTCTACCCTCTACACGCCCACACTCAACCATAAATAGTCAATGCAAAGTACCTCATGAATGTTAAGGTGTATTTAAATCAGTCAGATGATCAATGTCAAAAGCGATTGGTTCAGACACGTTCTGTCATGAGTCTGGAGGATAACAGGTGCTGACAACTGCTCACGTGAGCAGAATGTCTGTAATTGACAGATTTTCCCTGATTTTGCAGGTTTACAGACGTTTAGAGTAATCTAATGATTTATTTCAAAAACTCAGCTTCAAATTAATTTTCTCTCAGAGACTGCAGGACAAGAAAAACAATAAATAAAATTAAATAAGTCAGATAAACTTAGAAATAATTTCACCACTCGTCTCCTCGTCCTCCCCCTCCTCTGTTATCTGCGACAGACACCCCGCTGTTGAAATGTCTCTTGTCTGGGAGGGGTCTGTGGGTC